TGCGCAGGCAGCCTGGGCGGAGGGGTTTGCTGGCTAGCTGAAACACGCCGCGATGGCTGGGTGTGACAGAGGGAGCTCTTAAACTCTCTGTAGATTGTAGAGGCCGGTGGTTTCCAACTCCTGTGTAGGAATCCTTCCCACAGGGTTGCATCCTCTTAAATGACTGCCAGCTGCTGCCTTCATTTTGACCTCTTCTGTGCAGCCAGTTTGCTGCTCCTGGCACATGATACTCGCTCCAGAGGGCTGGGTCTGGTCACAGACTCATCTGAGTGGATTCGTGGAGAAGCGAGAAGTGGAACTGTGATCTGTTCTCAGCGTGTATATGAGCTGCTTCCCTGACAGCCAGCCGTGGGCGGAGCAGGGAGGTCAGAGAATGGCTTGCTAGGCTTGCGAGTGTTTGCTGGAGCATATTAATCAGAAAGGGAAACGGAGGAGGGAATAGGTGTCTTTTTACCTCTACACAACTTGTTTCTGGTGCCCAGTGGGGTCCCACCTATCCACCCCTTTGGATGTTTGGCCAATGAATGAATGTTGTGTGGTTTGGTCTGAAGATGCTGCTAGCAGCATCTCATAGATGCTTATTTCTTCAGAAGGGCTTGTTTGTCATACAAAACCGGAGTGGACTCCCTTTCTTAGGAATTTGGATAGTTTATTGCACCAAAGTTACTTCAAAGTCATTGCTCTTTGCACCAAGGTTGCAGATAGAAGCACAGAGACCGTCACAGCTAAAGAAAAGCCCAGAGTGGGAAGAGCAGTGGGTTCTGCAGCTCACGTCTCGGGAGGTGTCGGGGAGGGAGAGCAACTGGCACAGGTCAGGGATCGAGCAAGGTTTGGGAGCTGGAGGAGCAGGGCTGTACGGAGGGCTGGGGCACCGTGTGCCGCTTTGCGGAGCCCTTGGCACGGAGTGCAGTGGAGCCTGGCACCCCGTGCGCGCGCCTGGGCCCCTGCCTTCCTCGCCCATCCGTATGTGGACCTGGTGTTTGAGGGCTTGAGTTTTGTCTCGGCACATGGCTGTGCTTGGGTGTTTGGAGCGCTGGGTAGCTGCTTGTCAGAAATCCAGGTAAATCCCGGTGTGCTTATAAATTAACATCCCTGAGTGAGGAGACCCTGGGCTGCTACCCCAACGATGAAGTGAAGAGATCTGGTAGGGTCTGCTGGGGACTCTGCTCCAGCCTGGAACCCAGACTTGTTGAGCAAATCCTATGCCCGCCGTCCCTCTCTGGTGCAATGTCAAGGAGATGCTTTACCAGCCCTGGCAAAAGCCGGCGTCTGAGCTGCTGAAGGATTTTGCTGTCGGGAACGGAAGATCATCCGAAAGCTGGGTTGAGAAGCTGCTGTAGGGTGACCTGCCTTGTTTCCCCTGAGCAGGGACCACTGCGGTCCCTTGAATGCCGCTCTCCCATTTCTGTATTTTCCTTGCAATAAAATGAGGTCCCAGCACAAGCGATTGTTCTCATCTCCTTTCTTCCTCCCCATCAGCCAGCCCTCGCGGCCGCCACCTTCCTCCCGTTTTATTCCAGCGAAAACCAGGACGCTTTCATGTCTTTCCTAGCCGAGCTTAGATCCCATTTCCTGAAGCTTCTGAAAGTTACACCTTGTGCGGGGGGGAAGAAAGCCGGGTAAGTGTGCTTTGGGGGGTTGGAGGTGTTTCAT